AGCTTCACAACTGCCGCTGCTGAACCCCGGTGCTTGCTTATGTCAGTCACATGGATTCATTCTATTGGTTTTTCTTTTTTTTTAATAAAAGAAAATTTCAACTTTAATATAATTAATGAGAGAAATGCTCATTGTGTAGTGAAATCAGACAAATATGAATAAATAGAATAACTAGAATGAATTTAATTCCTTATACAGACATATAATATACATTAAAAACTATAGGAACATGAAGCAAATGCTAGCACATATTTAGGTGATGAGATATAGGTGACATTTCAAATGATCATTTTTGTATGTTTTATTCTATTTTCTATAATTCCTACGTTAATATGTGTTACTTTGTATTGATAAAGAAAGTAATAGTAAGTGCCATTAAGAGGGTTCTGATAAGCTTCTTGTTTATTGTCTCCAAACCCTCTTAGGTTTCAGTGTTTTCATCATTGCTTCTCCAGGATGTGAGCCTGTCATGAGCATGCATTGTGGGGCATTTAGAGCACAGCCACATTAGTCAGGACCCCTCCAACCCTGCCCCCATACTTTCCCTGAGTAACACTGCAATCGGCATTTTCTGCAAGAGTTTACTCAGTAGCAGCACACATGTGGAGGAGTGATCTCTACCTTTGGTGTCTGAACAGCAGCAAGAGGAGGCTGTAGCTAGAGGTCAGGGCTGAGAAAGGCTGGAAGGAAACAGAAGCGCAAAGCAGGACCGAGATTTTGAAGAAACGAAGCTGTTTGGGCTGTGCCTTTAATATCAGCACTTGGCAGGCAGAGGCGGGCAGATCTCTGTGAGTTTGAGGCCTACAGAATGAGCTCTAGGACAGACAAGGCTACACAGAGAAACCCTGTCTTGAAACAAAAAACAAACAAACAAACAAACAACTTCAACATGTGAGGGGTCCCCAGCAGAACTGGTTATTATGACTTTTGAATAGTATGGAGTAGGACGCAACTAGGCCAGTGAATAAGAGACAGTTTACAGAAACAGTCTCTCTCTCTCTCTCTCTTTCTCTCTCTCTCTCTCTCTCTCTCTGTGTTTCTATGAGCTTATATATTTATGTACTATAATATATACACAACTATATACATATACAAACATAAGCACTGCAGTTTCTTCAAGGCATTACTGCAGGTTATCTGAGCCTAAGAATTTTAATTTGAAGATATTATGACATCTTACCACTGGAGATTTATTATTGTGTGTTGGAAATTTGGATACACAAAGGCCTTCTTAAACCTATACAAGATCCTATTTTTTCTTCTGATGAATGTTTCTCTAATACAGCAGAGTAAAAATTTCCCTAAGTTTTACATCTTATTCTTTAGTCATCTAGGGAACTTACTGTTTTGTAATTTTACCTGCTTGTGTTTTAAAATCATACCACCTTTCAGAGCTACTTGCATTGCATATATACATATATGGAGACATAGGGGAGTGAGGGAGAGGGAGAGAGTGGGTGCCAAGAAAGTAAGCAGATTTCTAATGGCAAGGAATGAGTATTTATTGGCATGCTTTTATCCTTCTTGAAAGAACTCACAGGCTTCATATCAGGTCTCTAGATTGCACTAAGATTCTCAGGTGCTCTCCAGTCATCCCGAGAAAGATCTTTCAGACTGTATGGTGTGTGAAGGGCCGCCCTGTTGCTGAGCATGCTTAAGCACCCCGAGGCTTGAGCAGATGTGCCCATTGCATCTTATTTCAGTTGTCCTTAGAGTCTGGGAGTCAGAGCTCTTCCCGTTGTCTGGAGCTGTGTGACCCCCTTGCCCAATTAGTAGCCACATAAGTTTGAAGAACTTTTATTGATGGAAAGCGTGACTCATGGTGTTTACTGCTCTGTGTCCTGCTGAGGTTCTGTCGCCTGACTGACTGTCTTAGTTTGCCTGAAAGTGCTTGGATTCTAATTCTTTTTCTGTCCCCGGTCCATAAATAGAAACTATGTTTATTTTTGCCATGGAATATACATACATTTCAGTTCTAGGAAAAGAGGAAGAACACTCTACTTCTACTAGCCAGAAGACAGGTTCAGAACTGAACGAATGTTTGATTATTTGTTTTGTTAGAGCTCCCCTTCCCCAACAAATGAAAGCATCTATTGATCCCAGGGAGGGGGAAAGGAGAAATACTAACATGTTCACTGACTTCCATTCCACCCCTGCATAGAAGCCACAGATGGCACATAGTCAAATGGAAACTATTGTTTCCTTTCTCTTTTGCCTAAATTCTATAGTAGGGCTACTGAGCAGAACTGCATTGCTGCATCTTGAAGTCACTCCTAGAAAGTATGAGGATGACAAGACAAATTAGTGGATGCGGCCCTGTGGCGGCCACTGAAACATTGACCATGCATGTGTGGCTGCATCTCTGTGAATTTCTGGTAGGGATTGCTGCGGTTTTGGCACATTCATATTTTCTCCTTGGAAGATTTGATGGAGGTAGCCATCACTTTTATAACTATAAATTCAAATCATACTTCCTCAAGGAAGAATTATTTTTTTTTATCTTTTGAGCAAAAGACTTAATTGTAATTGTTGGAAGGCATTGCTAGAAGGGACCTATATCCTACAGATTCATAGATTCATTTTGTAACACAAGAAGATGCATGCTGTGCTCGCGTGAGTTTATCTAGTTCCATTCCAAGAGTGTTATATTTTGCAAAGAGCAATGTTTGGAGAGAGATAAAGTTGAATGCCTAAAAAAAGATGTTCTTCCTACGATCTCCAAAAAGTAACCTTTTATTTCACAAGCCACTTGGAACTCACTGCAGACTGTCTACAAAGAATCTAGGTTACATTTTTGGGGTTTGGAGGGTTCTTTATCCCCCAAGTAGAGAAGAAGTGATCTCAGAGTGTTTCTTCCACCCAGGACAACAAGGGAAGATTTATTAGCCTGTTGTTGGCAGGTTTGAGGTCCAGGTTTGTGTATTTTATGTTGTTTTCTTACTCCATGAGAGCTGGTTCTGGTCCCTGTGTGTGTTTGAAGTCTGCACAGGAAGCTGGGCTTAGAAGAGCCTCATTGCTAAATGGATTCCAAGGCTCTGGGAGCAAGGGCTAAACTCTGGGCCAAGAACAATGTAGAATCTTAGCCATCGTGTGGAAGCTTGGGCAGGAAAGAAGGACCTTGTGCTGGTCCTATGGCAAAGAAGTCAGTGGCTTGGTGACTGGGAGGGGTATGGGAAAGGACACAGTGACAGGACTATCATCTAGGATTTCCTTAGCTAGCTGTATTTGTCTGACCTCCAAGGTGCCTGGCCATGGTCCAGTGTGGTAAGAACATGGCTGTGAGAACCTGGACCACAGTCACTATGGAAAATGCAGTTGCCTCATTGTGGAAAGATTTTACAATCTGCAATTTGCTGTATGCCAGCCATCCTTCCACTGACAGCCTTGAAAAAAACTGAAAAATAAATTTAGAGTTTATGTATAATAAAAACTTTATGTGCCATAGAAATTGTTCCACTGGGACTGTGCTCAGATCCTTGCCTGAGCCACATCTTCTAGAGAGCTTGTGTTTGGTGATGTGTTGATTTAATTTTCCAATTCATGCCAAATTAAATAAATACTCACATTTTTGATCTGGTAACATAGAGTGAATAGCCAAAGGGATTTGTGATCAAAGGTTGCACGCCTTCAGGGACTAGCAGTTGAGTGATGTACATTAACATATTTCAGCCTCAGACCAGTTGGCCGAAACCAGCCAGGCATATTCCTGATGCGGAGACATGCAGTGAAACATGAAAACAAACAGTTCTAATTATGCCCATCTAGTCATGCGTTGGCCTCAGTTGCATATTCTTTCATTTGAAGTGGGTCAGCGGAACTTGGAATGTTCCATCTGCAACATTCTAGCTTGTTAGGATCATACTGACCAAAATTAATTGAGTCTGGTTCACTCAGTAAGAAACCAGATCACTTTAATATTTATACAGCTTTTAACCTCTTCTGGACAAACCACAACAAAACAATTCAAACCAAATGTGGTGTGTACCGTGCTCACAAGACAACCTATTCATATTTATGGATGTGCAGGCCAAGCCTTTGTCAACCCTGTATTCTTCAGAGTTTTGGGGTTGTGTTGTTTTGTTTAGGGTATGTTGTTTGTTGTTTTGATGGTTGAGATAGCATCATGTTTACTTTCTGTTAGGGCTAGATTCTTTCACTAGCATAATTGCTAGCCCCTGCATAATCAGCTTGCAGATCTTGGACGTGGCTGGCATTATGTTTATGTAAGCTGACATGCACCCTTGCTAGGAGGGATTCCAGAAGCATCTTCAGCTCTCATACCACTACCTCATCATTGGCAAATCAGCTGGCAACACAAGACAGACGGTACCACATTTCAAGCAGAAGTCTACTGCTGTTGCTGCCTGATGAGTGGGCACCAGTTTTTCAGATGTTGCATATAAAAGAAAAACCACCAGGTGTGCTAAGAGCAATCTTTGCCTTTCAAAGTTGAAGACTTTTAATTCTAAATAGAATTACCTCTTCCAGTTAAATATAGCAGGGAATGGAGACATTGGAAAATTCAGACATGTGTCAAGCCATATCATGGCGTGTGAACTTGCCTCACAGATCCTAACCCAGTTAGTTTGCTTGAATCTTAACTTCTGAAAGTCACAAACAATAATTCTATTTTAATGTTTTTTCTTCCCTGTGTAAATTATTTCATTGAAAATGTCCAGTGTCTAAGGTAGTTTACAGATAAGAAGCCATGGCCTGATTTGTTTGCAATGTACATGCTGTTATGGCTAAGGATATCTTAATGCCTTTATTTTAATTCACCCAGTTATATAGTAGGAAGGTCCAATTGCCTGGTTAGAGACAAAACTCTGCTGTTTTGACATTTCTGAACTTTCAAAGTTTATAGAGCCAACATTTCCCATTTTCTCTTAAGAGGAATATCTCTTATTGTAAATCTTTGTCTGCACACATCTCCACACACACAGCCATCTTATGTGTCTAAAGTTTCCAGTTAACTTTATCCTAAGTACCGTTTTATATTGCAGTTCCTAGGAAATTCCAGTATCACAGCCGAGATTCCTTGGGAGCCTGAAGCTGTAAGAGCAGTGTGGTAAGACAGATACTGTGATCCACAGGAAGACTACAAAATAAATATTATTTCCAGGGAAGTAATCTATTTAGCCTAGGACTAAAATGCCTTCACAAGAGTCTCAATAAATTGATTTTAAATTAGTACTCAAATGTGTGGCAGCAAATAGAAGTATCTTCTTTTGCAATTACATCAGGAAGATAGGAACAGAGTTTTTGCTACTACCACATGCTTTAAAACTACCATTATCTTAATTACATGATCAGTTTGTATAGGCATATCTATGATATCCTGTGGTATAGGTTTATATCACAGAACTTTCCACTCACTTATGGATTTTGTGTTGAATATCTTGTCAGGGTCATTTTAAAGTATACAGAAGTTGTGTCACTTGCTCTTAGAATTCTCTAGTTGCCCCAGATAAGAGCACCTCCAATTGGTTATTCGTTATGAAGTGGTCAGTCTTGATATCATATACACACAAGTAACATTTATAGACTGAGCAGGTTGTATGTATGTGGTTATAATTATATGAGTGTATGTATGTATGTATATATGTACATACATTATGTGTGTGCATGTAATAACAATTAAAGAAAAAGAGGTCATGGATCTGAGAAAGAGCAAGGGGATACACAGCAGGGTTGGAAGGAGAAAAGAGGGATAATGATGTATTTATACTTTCAATACTATTTTTAAAATTACTATAATGAAAAAGAAGCTGTGTCAGTCATATGTCCTCAGTCTAGGATTCAATTTAACTGCACAATGTACATGGGGATGAATTCTTGAGTAAATTGGATGGGAGGGAGTGACTTCTTCATAGTGTGCGACAGGGAATGACAAAAATGGGAGGACAATTCATGTATTTATTTTCATTTAAACTCAGTTTGCTAATCACCTGCCAGGGTTGGATAGCCGCACCAGGCACATGTCTTCCAGCACGTTCTCCCCTTGAGAAATTGAAACTTCAGTAAATGAAAAGAGGCCCAGGCCCAGTTAAAAGCTGATTTCCTCCTTACAGGGATAGAGTACACCAAATTGAAAACTACAGACATGATTCAGGTCCAATGGGAAACTCAAAAACAGAATCTCAAAAAGATGACCTGTCCCACAGTGATCTTCTAGTGGCCACAGCAAACCTCCAACCTAGCAGGTAAGAGGGAAGTAGCAATGGCCCCCAGCAAGAGAAGGGTAGACAAGTTTTATCCCGCATAGACTATACTCAAGTATATCAAATACCAAGGACCAGGAGAGACAAGAGTACAGGATTGTTGCAACCCATAGAGTAAGAAGCAAAGACAAAGATTTGGTTTTGGCTTGGATTTGGTTTTTCCTTCCAACCCACTGAGGAGTATTCTTATGACACATACACAAAAGTTGAAATGTTTATTTGTTGTATGTGTTTTAAGTAAGCAAATCCAACCTTTTTTCAAGTGTTCACCAAAAGAAGTATTCTGTCTACCGAATAAATGAAGAATGTATGATGTCAATGACAAACACTGGTCAGGAAGCAGTCTTTTTCTTATGGGGACAAATACAAAGTGAGATACACAGAAAAAAAATAATAGAGGAAATAAAAAAGAAGGCACTGGGAAGTTTAGGCTATGATGGGTAAGTAAATAAAGTCCCAGCAGCATGGCACTGAGGACAAAACTGTGAGTTGGTGACCTAAGTGGCTAGGTACAAATTCTGCCCCTGTCATATATTAGTGTGTCTTAAACAATTGTGTGTGTGTGTGTGCATGCACCCATGTGCGAGCATGCATGTGTGTGCATGTGTATATGTATATGTGTGTGTGTACATGTGCGTATATGTGTAGTGAGGGTATGGAGTGTTAAGCCTCTGGCTTCGCATGAACCTATGGCTTCACATATGCTAGTCAAATATGCTACTCTTGACCTATTTTTCCCAGCCTTCTTTTTATTTATTTATTTATTTTGTATTTTGAGACAGGGTCTCCTTAAGTTGTCCAGGTTATCTTTGAACTTGTTCTGTAGCCCAGACTGACTTTGAACTTTGCATCTTCCTTCTTCAGATTTGCTGGGTAGGTGGACTTGTAGGCCTGAACCACCAGGTCAGCCAGTACATGACTTCTGTGTGCCTCACCTTTCTCAACTCCAGACAGATTATAAAACATTCCTCGGCCTATAGTGGGTTGCCTGGAAGGGTTATTCGAGCTATGTAGGATGGTACCTGTCATGTAGTCACAGTTTAGTAGGCCTGTCAGTCAGTGTACCTTCTCTCTACAATTCCTGCTGCAAACTTTCCCCTCTTTGTCTTGGCCAGTCTGGTTCCTTGCATGAATATAATGACAAGCCTGGCTATAAATTTTTATCATGCCTTCCTTAGAAGGCCCTGGTTAACTTATCAGATAAGGTCTGTATGGCCTTGAGTTTCTTTGATCTTTAATTTTCATGTCAAAATAAATGAGAGAGAGAGAGAGAGAGAGAGAGAGAGAGAGAGAGAGAGAGAGAGAGAGAGAGAGAGAGAGAGAGATCACCAGATTTTCTGAAATTTAGGAAACAAAGCTAGGGCAGAAATAGAAACCACAAGTATGGACATATTCAAACCAGAATTATATAGGAGCTTAGCAAGAAAGAATGTTATGTCCTATTGTGGTTTCTCTACAAATTAAAGTGCTGGCCCAGCCAACCTGGATGATTCTAAGGGCTTTTTCTCAGCTCATATGTTCCTGGGTTTTGGAAGAGTCCAGAGGCAGAAAGCTTGACTGCCTGGGGAGCCAACTCTACTTTCAGTGTCAGGGAGATGCTGGAGTAGGATGATGTTTTGTTCTGGAAGATGCTGCAGTGACCAGTTGCCATAGTTCCTGAGAGGGACTCCATTCTATGTCCAGCAAAGACTTCCCTTTTCATTACATAAGAATCTTGCTACATATTTGCTTATTTATCTTTTCCCCCCACTTTGGTGGTTAGGAGAATATCTATATACCAAATAGGCCTAAGGTGAGTTGATCGAATGAGGCAATAGAAACATCCAGACTCAGCTTCCAGCTTCTGGATATGTCAAAAGGATGGATCAATGATGAGATGCTCAATGAGGGAAAACCTCACAACCTCAAAAACCTCCAAAAAAAAAAGGCAAAAGTGTAAACCATCTTAGAAAATTGTAGTTTTATTGTAAAAATGTATGGATGATTTATATTCTGCACACACACATACACACACACACACACACACACACACACACGAGGGCTGGGGAGATGGCTCACTGGTTAACAGTATTTGCTGCTCTTGCAGAGGACCTGAATTTGGTTCTTATCACTCACATGGGGGCTCACAAGTATCTGTAACTCGAAATTCAGGGTATTTGATGTCTTCTTCTGACATTTGTGACCATTAGACATGCATGTAGACAATCTCATGCACATAAAATAAATAGATCTAAAAAATTAAGGTACAGATAATGTGAATAATCTCCTTCATGAATCTTTGATTGAAATTTTTGTCTTGAGACAATTAATTATTCTCACCATGGAGCTTTGTGACTTTCTTGGGACAACCTGAAATATCACAACTGTACATCAGTGTCTGGCATACAGGGGTCCTCAGTGCCAGTTCTCACCCCAAATGTTACTAGATTTGTGCATATATTTTTTACAGCTGTGCTTAGAGATGGGCCTACTGAGGACCTGTACATTTTCTTCATGAACCCCGGGAAGACCAAGTTTTGATCCGTTTTTACCCGGGATGCTGTGTTTATCCTGCTTAGCTGCTATCCTTTGTAGCTTCCTTGGTAAGACATAAATTCTATAGTAGAAGCCCAGAGCTTCTGGCTATTAATTTCTTTGTTCAGTTTCTTCATTTTTTTCCACTCAACTCCATTACTTATTCAGTCAAGAGACCATATGATAGCCTTCATCAGAAATAAAAATATAGAACCAAGTTCTCATTACCAGAGCATTCATCACTCAAGTTATTGTAGATAGCAAGGTTAGAGAGGGAAACAAGTCATCTATACATAAAAGTAGATAAATCAACCATTTGTAAAGTGAATCTATTATACTGCACACCTGAAAACCCAGCACTCAGGTGGCCAAGACAAGAGGTGTGTGAATCGAGTCCACCATGAGCTTCCTAGTTAAATAGTGAAGTTCTTGTCTCATAAACAAACAAAACCCAACGACTGATTAACTTAACATTTCTCTTTGCATTTTGCGAACTGATTGATACTCTATATTCGGAAAACAAGACAAGAAAGCAAACCCTAAACATTGAATACATTTGAGGTCTTACAGCATCAATGAAATTGGCATTAGAGACATAATCAGATGTGAAACTAGAAGGCTGTTCACAGTCAAACACTGAGAAGATGGCTGACAGAAGTGGTGATCTAGTAGACTGTCTCAGGAGAAAGCAGCCCCTGGAAGATCTCAGGAGCCCAGAAGTACCCTTATGAAAGGTTCTTCTCTGAGGATATGAAGGTGTCCACTGTGAAGTCAATTGATTGTATTGTGCTGTGATGCAGTCTTGCTCAGTAAGTTATACACAGAACTCCACGGATTTTGTTAATGTGCTGTCCCATGATTTAGCATAGAGATGAAATAATAAAGAGTAGGAAATGTAAGATAAGGAAATACTTTCATTATTTTTAGCTAGTATTTTCAGAGCTATTTGGAGTCTAAGTTTTTATTTCTCACTGCTGTTTCCTGTGTCAAATTTGGTTTCTGTTAAAACAGATTTAGTTTAAGTTGTCTTTTTCTTTTTTCTGGTATTAATTAACTTCGCATGATGAGAGCATCTTTTACACTCACAGGTTGCATATATAAGACACTTCAAATGAGGCTATATTTAAAAGCACTTTGATGCTTGCAAACACGTGCAGACCTTGTCTCATTTAATTCCTACAGTCCATGGATAATTTGTTTTCTCCATGTTTCAGTAGATAATACTTAAAGGTAGTAAGTTATGTTTTTGAAACTTTTTAATGTTAAAAAATGACTATAGAAATTTCATGTCCCCCAGACATTCTGATACAGTATGGGAAGCAAACCTTTTATCTCTGATGAAACATCAAGACCTGTCAATAGGGTTGATTTCTAAGGGCACAGTGTAGCTAAGAGTTAGCCAAACCTTTCCTTTATGTGTGCTCAAGTGATCTGCACTCTAAATCATAATATTATGATACTGAATACACATTTGGAACAATCTGAAGTTCTAGATCCTTGGCTCCTGTTGCTGAAGAGTATAGGCCCAATTCCTATACATGATGGAAAATCCTCTTCCCAATCACAGAGCCAGGAAGCAGCTAAGCAGATGCTGAGATACTGGACATCACTCTGTGTCAACATTCTTAGAACTACCAGGACCCTTTCAAGTTCTTCAAGAAGACACTGTAGATGACAGATCAGCAGCTGGCCTATGGTTCTAAGGACTAGAAAGTGGAGCACACACAAGCTTCCTTGTAAAACACGTAATCTGAAAGATCTCAGAAGACTGGGGTAATTCTGTGTCCTAGGAAAGTTAGGTACAAGGCATGAGAGATCAGTATCAGAAGATGGGCATGATACGGAAGGGGAGGCCATTTCCGGGAAAGGGAGCAGATAAGAGAGAGAACCCTGAAAGCCAGGTTGAGCTGACCTTTATTTGTTAATCTTGGAGCAGGTAGGGAGCTCGTTCGTAAGTCAGTGAAGGCAACCTTATGTCTCTACATAATAGGAATGGTTGTAGGAGGGAAAGTATGCACAGAAACCAGTGAAAAGGGTGATTGAATGTTTAGAGTCTGAGAGTCAGAAGGGCCTCAGGGGTCCTCTAGATCATCATCTTCCCAGTGTGTGAATCCCCCTTTTCTCAGTTGGATAAACGATAAAGACCAGAAAAGTAGAAGGCCCATGTAAGGCTGGTGGAGTGAACAGCGAGAAGGCAAGGCTGCATATGTTACCACCCAGTATCTTCTTTAAGGTTGGGGGACAGGTAAAGTAACTAGTTTGATCCTGCCTAACCTGTCTTCTTCATTTTTTAATTATTTCTTTTAGATTATAATATAAAAACACCACTTCTGCTTCCTTTTCTTCCCTCCCATCCAATACACAACTATCCCACACAGCTGCTTGTGTATATATGTATTCCTAAATACATAAATGCTATCTGCTCAGTCTATACAATATTACCTGAATGTATGTTTTGGGGCTGACCATTTGGTATTGGGTAACTAATTGGTGTGCTCTTCCCTGGAGAAGACTGTTTTTCTCACTCCGGTGTTGTTTTTTTAAATTTTTATTAAAATAAATTATGTCTTAGAAACATGCATGCTTCACATGTCAGTCCCAGTTCCCTCTCCCACCCCTCCTCCCTTGTCCCTCCACCAGCCTTTCAGCCCCCCACCCAATCCCCACATTATTCCCCAGGGAGGGTGAGGCCCTCTTTGGAGGATCTCCAGACTTTGTCATTTCATCTAGGACAGGACCTAGGCCCTTCCCCATGTGTTCAGGCTGAGAGAGCATCCCTCCATGTGGAATGGGCTCCCAAAGTTCATTTGTATGCTGTGGTAAACACTGATGTACTATCCAAGGCCCCAGAGATTTCTGAGGCCTCCTCACTGACACTACATTCATAGATTCTGGATAAGTCCGCTGTTGGCCTCTCAGGCATCCGTCTGGGGTTCAAGAGCTCCCCATTGTCCAGTCAGCTGTCTTTGTGGATTTCACCAGCAAGGTCTTAACCACTTTGCACATCACTCCTCCATCTCTGTCACTGGGTTCCAGGAGTTCAGTTTAGTGTTTAGCTGTGGGTATCTGTCTGCTTCCATCAATCACTGGATGAAGGTTCTAGGATGGCATATAAGGTAGTCATCAATCTTATCATCAGGGAGGGGCTATTAATGTAGTCTTTCCACTATTGCTTAGTTTGCCAGTTGGTGTTATCCTTGTAGATCTCTGGAGAGTGTCAAGCCTATAATGAGTTGATCTATTATAGTATCTCTAATCTATTATGGTATCTCTCATCCTGCTCTCCTCTATTCTTACCTCGTCTCAAACTTCCTGTTCCCCCATGCCTTCTTTGCCCCTCCTCTTATGCCCCTTTCTTTTTCCTGGTTCCCTCTCCCCTCCCCCGATGTTCCCAATTTGCTAGGAGATCTTGCCTCATTCCACTTCTCTGGGGTATCATGCATATCTCTTGGGAACCTCCCTGTTTCCCAGATTTACTGGCACTGGATTGTAGGCTGACCCTGCCCTGATCCATGTCTAAAATCCATATATGAGTGAGTACATACCATGTTTGTTTTTTTGTGACTGGGTTACCTCACTCAGGAAGGTTTCTTCTGGTGCCATCCATTTGCCTGCAGATTTCAAGATTCCATTGTTTTTTTTTTTGCTGAGTAGTACTCCATTGTGTAAATGTACCACATTTTCTTTATCCACTCTTCAGTTGTGGGGCATCTAGGTTCCTTCCAGGATCTAGCTATTACATATAATCCTGCTGTGAACATAGTGAAACAGATGTCCTTGTTGTATGAATGTGCATCTTTTGGGTATATGCCTAGGAGGGGAATTGCTGGGTCTTGTGATAGACTGATTTCTATTTTCCTGAGGAATCTCCATACTGACTTCCAAACTGGCTGTATAAGTTTGCACTCCCACCAGCAATGGACGAGTGTTTCCCCTTTCTCCACATCCTCTCCAACAAAAACTGTCATTGGTGTTTTTGATTTTAGCCATTCTGACAGGAGTAAGATGATATCTCAGAGTTGTTTTGATTTGCATTTCCCTAATGGCTAAGGATGTTGAGCACTTTCTTAATTGTCTCTCAGCCATTTTAGACTCCTCTATTGAGAATTCTCTATTTAGTTCAGTGCCCTCACTTTTTAATTGGATCCTTTGGAGACTTGCTTCTTGAGTTCTTTGTAAATTTTGGAGATCAGCCCTCTGTCAGATGTGGGGTTAATGAATATCTTTTCCCAATCTGTGGGTTGCCTTTTTGTCTTGCTAACTGTGTCCTTTGCCTTACAGAAGCTTCTCAGTTTCAGGAAGTCCCAGTTATTAATTGTCAATCTCAGTGTTTGTGCTACTGGTATTATGTTCAGGAAGCGGTCTTCTGTACCAGTTCATTCAAGGGTACCACCCACTTTCTCTTCTAAGAGGTTCAGTGTGGCTGGATTTATGTTGAGGTCTTTGATCCATTTGGACTTAAGTTTTGTGCATGGCGATAAACATGGATTGATCCACATTCTTCTACATGCCAGCCTCCAGTTATGCTAGCACCATTTGTTGAAGATGCTATCATTTTTCCATTGTATAATTTTAGCTTCTATGTTGAAAATCAGGTGTTCGTAGGTTTGTGGATTAAACTCAGGGTGATCAATTCGATTCCATTGGTCTACCTGTCTGTTTTTGTGCCAATACCAAGCTGTTTTCAGGACTATAGCTCTATAATAGAGCTTGACATCAGGGATGGTGATGCCTCCAGACATTGCTTTGTTGAGCAGGGATGTCTTGACTATCTTGGTTTTTTTTTCCATGTAAAGTTGGGAATTTTTCTTTCAAGGTCTGTGAAAAATTGTGCTGGGATTTTGATGGGGATTGCATTGAGTCTGTACATTGCTTTTGGCAGGATTGCCATTTTTACTACATTGGTCCTACATATCCAAGAGCATGGGAGATCTTTCCATTTTCTGGTGTCTTCTTTAATTTCTTTCTTTAAAGACTCAAAGTTCTTGTGACACAGATATTTCACTTGTTTGGTTAGTGTTACCCCAAGGTTTTTTTTATGTTGTTTGTGGCAATTGTAAAGGGTGAT